CAGGCATTACCGTCTTGTTGTAACGCTCCACCTGTCCATTGGCTCTTGGCGTTTGGGCGTTTGAATGACTGCATGCTGCACCTCTGTCGGATATGATCCTTTCGGAAATCCAAAAATTTTAAACAAATTCATCAAACATTTTACCACCTCATTAGTGTTCGTTGTTTTTGTCGGTTCAAGAACAATGAATTTTGAAAATGCATCCACAATGCTAAATATGAATCTGTGCCCTTTGCTGGTTTTTTCCAATGGTCCTAAGTGATCTATATGCAAAGTTTCCCACGGTCTTCTACCTTTATCGATGGCATGCAATAAAACCTTCAGTGGTATTTTGTTTGTAATTATATTCCAAACATTTTATGCAATTTTGAAGACATTTCCTAACAAATGTTTTCATATTCTTGAAGTAATAATTTTGTTTCAGTATGTCTAAAGTTTTATCAGCTCCCAAATGTGCAATATTCTCATGTGTTTTCATGACTACCTCTTTTCGCATACCTCTAGGTACAACAAGCAGATTTTTACCCTCGTTTTCATAAAATAGTATACCATTAATCAATAAAAAAGTATTTTGTGGCTCACCATTTTCCAAAGCTGTCATTATCTCTCGTAATTCTAAATCTCGACGTTGAAAAATCTCGATATCCTTATCAGTACTCGACTCGGTTACAACATAACATCGACTAAGTGCATCAACGTGTAGCATGTTTTTAGCATTTCGGTGTTCTACGATGTAGTCAAATTCTTCTAGACTCAAAGCCCAACGACAAATCTTGGAATTTATAGATTTCTTCTTTAAAGCTAATTTAAGAGCATTGCAATCGGTTATCAACGTGAAAGGTTTTCCTAGTACGTATACTCTAAACTTTCCCAAAGCTTTAACAACTGATAAAAGCTCTAGCTCAAAACTACTGTATTTGCTTTCGGCATCGGTGTCTTCATACTGTAATAATACACAGGGTGAAACTTCATGTCTTCCTTTGATCGCTGCATCAGCACTCCACCATAGCCTCGGCTGCTAGCATCGGTATGAATTTGTGTTTCTAAATTTCGATCAAAAATCTTGAGAACAGGATATTCGGTTAGTCGTCTCTTCAATTCTTCAAACGCTGTCCTCTCGTTGGTGCCAAACTGAAATTTAGTTTGCTTCGTTGCATCTGTCAATGGTTTGGCTATGGTTGAAAATCCATTGATAAATCTTCGGAAATAACTGGTTAAACCATTGAATGATTTTAATTGGGTCATGGTAGTTGGTTCTGGGAATTTACGTATTGCTGAAGTTTTACTACTCCCTGGTTTAATATAACCGTCTGTGGCGGTGCTTTCTTTTTACGGATAAACACAACCACCTCAGGTACACGTACCCGCTTCTCCCTTCTCTCCTCTCTCACCTCATCAACCCTTTTGGATAGCTTATCTCACCAAAATTCGCAAATTCTTAATAAAATCACAAAATCTTTACCTCGCTTCCGACTAGCTCAAATACTTACATACAAAATTTCTACTGTCTTACTTCCATCGAAAAATCAGGTATCTAATTCACTTTTTACTGGTGTTAATTACTCTACTTCTCATCTAACTTCTCGTTGAAAAATCATCAACTCAATGGCCATAATTTCATTCATTTATTTTAATGCAGAATCCAATGCATTCCAGAAAATTGCGATCTTTACAATCAATATTATAAAAATTGGGAACTATGACTAAAACCTTATTAAGTTATCAAAAAATTTGAATATTATTAGTTCTGTTGGCCAACTCACAATATGTTCTCTCCCTTGAAGAGGTGACTATTAATTTTTATACTACATTTTCCTTGACACGAATTCCACTATTTCAAATATAATTAATTACCTTCTTTAAGGAAATTGATTCAATAAACAATCGATTAAAACATATCATAAAACATATAAATACACACAAATTGACTTTATTTTTTATTACAATGAAAATATTCAAAATAGACTAACCTTTAAAAATCCAGGACTTCGATGAAGATTGGGAAGCCCTTTACATGCTAGTTGATTGATGGATGGGGTAGACTGCAACTTTTGGAATGCCAACTTTACGTCGTCGATTGTTTTCCTTTTTTTTCTTTTTTATATAGCTGATGATTACAGTTGAAAAATCCTTGGCTCGCTGTTGAGTAGGTTATTTTCCTTGTAGAAGGTAGACGAGATTTTCCAAAAACATGTAGTTTTGTAGGTATAATCCCACAGTGAAATTTTATTGATGTAAACACCTTATCTTGCGTAAGTTCGTGAATTAATTTGCCTGATTTTTTGGTCGATTTAAAGAAGTTTTTTTCATAACAAACTATTACATTGAACTTTTAAAGCACATTACTTTGATGAAAACGGCTATCCACACTTAAAAAACTTTGATGGTTATATTCCAAGGAGGCACAATAGTAAATTTTAACACAACGGCAAATGGGTGAAACGTTCAAATTTGTTCCGTCGGATAGATGCCAAAAAATGCGCTCGTATTATTTTCCTTTAAGAACAATGGTTCATATCACACAGCTATTATCGCTCGAATTTACTTAGCGCTTTATATTTGATACGTAATGTCCACGTCTAATTTTAATTTCAACACTATGTGGATGATTTCATAGCACAATACGCTTGACAAATTTTTAACTAAGATTCCGCGATTTACTTTTTCTCTTCGGGCGTGAAATTTACCCAATGGAAATTTCCCGTTTTAACTAATGGTGCAAAACTGTACTTAAACTCGGACTAATATCGACCGTCACTTAAACGGAATCACTTATTTGGTGCTTAATGCACGCGATTGAAAATTTACGATCTCTTCGGCCCGGCTATGCAGTACCTATCTTTTTTTTTTTAAAAATTTTTTCCTCTTAACTCTCTCCTAACATATTCACGCCCCTTAATCGTTGCAAAATGGCTGATCTTTTTTATTACTGGTACTTCTCATACAATGGCCTCCATCTAAACCAATTAACTGGGGAATACTTATCAACTAATTTTTTCAGCGTTTGCAGAACCAGCTTTCCCAAGCTTAGCTGGTGACTCAATGATAAAAAAACTTATCTAAAGAAATCCGATATTTATTCGTTATCTGCATCCTGTTTTGCACTGAGAATTTTCTGTGATCCCCTTTATTGCGAATCGCGGCACAAGGAAGTTTAATACAATGAACCCAACATGATGTCATACTACAATAGTTACAAAGCGAAAAAAGTTTTATCCCCAAAAGGAAGAAAGGTTTATCCAATTTTAGTACAAATCCAAAGCGATATCCGAAAAATTTGCAAAATTTCGACCGGCCATTACTCCACCCGTTACACGTCTTCTATTTTATACCCCAGATATTCTATAGTTGTCATCATAAAGGAACATTTATCTAATCGCAACTTTAGTTTGTTGGATTTCATGATTCGGCATACTTCTCCCAATATCGCTAAGTTTTCATCAAGTGTTTCGGTCGCTATGAGAATATCGTCCATATATATTTGAAGTTTTCCTTGTCGAATCAAATCAGAAAAAATGAAATTTATGTATCGTTGGAATACAGCAGGAGAATTTACGAAACCAAACGGCATCTTAAGGAATTCAAATTGGCCACCTTGAATCACAAAAGACGTGTATTTAATTGATGACTTTTCGATATCAATATGATAAAAACCGTCTCTCAAATCAAGAGCAGTAAAGTATCGGGCTTTTGACAAATTATTCAACAAATCGTCAATCACAGGTAAAGGGAAACTGTCTTTTACCACAATTTTATTTAGTTCACGAAAATCAACACACATACGCGATTCACCTGTTTTTTTCTTCACCAACACGATTGGATTAGAATATTCGGAATAACTCGGTTGTATTATCTTCTTGTCCAACAAGTCATTTACAATGTCATTAACGATCTCACGTTCCGCTGGAGCTAACCGTCGCGGTGGAAAACACTCTTTTATCACTTTTCAGTTCAATTTTTAATTTTACAGCAGACTCTCTTTCGTTACAATTCATGCCAGTTTCGACACATTCAGCTACCAGTTGTTTCACCTGCTTCTTAATGTGGCTATCGACTTCCGGATTAATATTTAAGGGAATTTCTTCGTTCTCCATCTCGATGTTCATAATCGAAAATAACTCTGATGAACTGGAACCCTTCTTAACGATTTTAATTCTGTCTTCGTTTGAACTCCAACATACCCCATTCAAAAACTCTTGTCCTAAGATGATATCCACGGCCATTACGTAATCAGGCACAACCACAGATTCAACAACATAATCACAGGCGTCAATTGCTATCGTGACCTCGACAGCCTCTCCACATGGTACTTTTACACCTCCCAATCCAGTCAAAGTGCATTTCTTTTGCAATGGTTGCATTCCACTGGCTTTAACAAATTTTGCTTTAATTAAATTTTTCTTGCTACCTGTATCTATAAGTACTATCATTCTTAAATTACCAAGTTCGACTAACTTCTCATACGATGATTCGTTGATTGCGCTTACAATCATAGTCGCACTACTACTTGCATTATTTTCTTGCTTAACATTAACGTTCTGTTTATTCTCTTCTGGATTTTCAGACCCTCGCACGCAAAATCGTGAAATGTGACCGACTTGATTACATTTATAACAAACCGGTTGTCTAGTATGACTTGGAGCCGCATTTGCTGCTACTGGAGGCTTTCTCTCAGATGACTCGGGAATTTTTTTCAGATTACTTATAGGTACGTCTCTCTTCGCATTGCTGTACAAATTACTCTTCGCATCGCTATTTCCCATTTCGCTAGTTAACAGTTTCATTAATTTAAAAAGTTCCTTAGAATCAGTGAACTATTTCGTGTAACAGTTCATTTTAGGAAGTTAATTCATTTTAATAAAAACATCAAATAATGTAAAGTATTACAAATAAATGCAATATCAGTACAATTCTTGTTGGCCTTGTCTGAGCGATATGCGTGTTTTCTTAGGAAATTTTGGACATTATTCCGATTGATTTTCGCGTGCGAACTTGTACCACTGCAGTAGAGTGTTGCTAAAAATATAGATTATTAGTTTTTTTAATCGTATCCGTAAAAGGGATTAAATAGCACCTTTACGTTTTTTGGATTGCTGTTTTGAAGCAAATTTATTCCATTGCCCATTTTGGGGATTATTCAGTTGTACGACATCCGTTTCTTTGCGCTGCTAAAAGAAAAGCTTAAGATCATTAATTGGATATTGTAGAAAAGAAAACGATTTACTTACCATCCAAATTACGTGTGAAACCCTCTGAATTGAGGTAAGCGAAATTGCCAATGTAATAATATAATTTTATTTTAACCATAACTTTATAGGGTTTTTTTTGTATACGTATACAAAAGTACCGCCAACTGTACGAGACCAGTATCGTCCCCATTACGTTTAATTTCTTCCGATTCTTCAGAGTCATCCGATTGTTCCAGTTCTCCGTCTTCTTCGGACCAGACCCGCATTCTTCGTGCCAAGAGCTAAGATTTATGTTTTGTGTTTGTCTAAGATAACCTTTCCCATGTTTTGATTTACGTCAATTTAAAACCCGAACTTAACAACTGCCTTTCGGCGCAATTATACTAATAAATTGTAAAACCAATCATATGGCCAGATGTGCGGGGTATTATGCAACTTGCTTGTTTAAGTACCGAATACTGAATCCGATATTTAATTTTCCTTTTATGTGAAAGCAAGTAGATAATTAAAAAGCTTTTGTTTGCAATTTTTCTTCCTTTATTTTGCTAGTGACGGAAACTTTTATCTTGCTCTATAAATAACTTTCTTTTATTAATGCCAAATGAGAACCTAATGAAATTATCCCACCTCCTGAGATTTTTATCGTGGCACTCGCAATCAGCTGAGTTCTTATGGTAAAGTTGTCTATTCCATGGATAATGTGATAAATAATTTCGGCTTCTGACATTTTTGCACGACGGGCTATGGTTACTTTATCGTAATAATAATCTTCAATTCGCTCACCTCTTTTCCAATGTCGATTCCTAACTTTCTCGGCAAGGCTACCGATATCTTCAAGATTCGCAAACATTTCTTTTAAGGCTTCCTTGAACTCGTTCCATTCTAGCTTATAGAAATCATCGGACGCATCATACCATTTCTTTACATTTCCAACTAACTTGTTGCTCGCCAATACTTTAATTGTTTTGTCATCGACTCCATAAATCTGCTTCAAATCTTCAATTCGTTGTACCCACTTTTCGACATCGACCACTTCCTTATCAGCACCGAACGAAGGAATTTGTGACGAGATTTCGGTGAACGGGATTCTTTTACTAACGGTATTGTTCGTCGAAACTTGAGTTGCGTTCTCTGCACGTAATTGCAATAATTCTCTATCACGGTCCTGAAGCATCGATACCATAGTCGTCATTTGCGCCATCATTATCTCCATATTTCGCTCATAACGTTCAAACGCCGCTGCGCCTTCCATCTTGCTATTTCCGCTTTCCGGTGTTGTTTAGTTTGGTTATGTTTGTTCTTCAGCACTCGGTATATTACGAACACAGGGTTAGATCTTCTACAGTAAGTACGTCGTATAAATCAAACCGTCGTAAACACGTTTCTTGTACTAAAAACAACATTCAATGCCAATCTAAGCCGTAAACACAGGTTGTTTCGCACGTGGCTCTACAACGTCACGACAAGATTTTCATTTCTTACTTATAATTCGAGGCTCTTACGTTCCATACCACTTCTGAAACTTTAGGCGTTTTTTGAATATTTTTAATGAGAACAATAAATTTACAATAATATCAAGAAAAACTGAACAATCATTTTAACACGAAAAAAGTCAAACTCGCCATCCTCTTCTCTAAATCATGCTTGTGTCGTAGTCCAAGTAACGGTCGCTTCGGCGCACTAATCGTGCGGAGCGGGTTGCCAGGGTCGGACTCCCACACCAGCAAAACTTACTTTGATCCTAAATGAAAGCGCTCTCTATCCAATCCTTTTTTTGTCGCAACAAGAAGAGGAAACGTCATATGCGCCGTATGCATTCTTTCTCGTTACTTCATCACAAACATTCTCATTTATTTCACTCAGAAAATACATACTGCAACGTAAATTTAATTACGTGATTCATTTATTTATTTAACAATAAAGTTATAACAGTATAATTAATTTATTACAGTTAAAATATTACTTATCACGGACATATACACAATTTATAACATCTCGAACTATTTATTACTTCGGCGGTGAAATTGGAACTGTTTTGAAATGCATTTCAATTTGCTTATGGTGCAAACTCGAGTACTCCTGAGTGTTCTCGAACATTCTAGAACAAAACGCATCGTATTTCACGGAAAGATTGCGTCACATCCGCCTTCGCTCTTTATCGTCGATGCCTATGTCGATGCTAATATTTCATGGCACCTCGTCTATCCGGATTTCTGGAATATTCGCTACAATACAAAGAAAATTCGACCGGAAATATGTCACGTACTGCTACCCAGTTTGTTGGACCGATTTATCAATAATATTTTTTCTTCTTTATGAATGCATGCATTCTCTATCTGTATATGTAGACTGACTTGAAGCAAAACCGCAGAGTATCAACTTTCTTATTTAAGTACCCAAGTTTCAGAAAACCTTTCGTGGCACAGCTTCAACGCGAAATGCAAAACATAGTAGTTTTTATCAATAAAGTATATTTGAAAGCTAAGAAAATATTTGGTTTTAAACTGGGCTTTGTTTTTTTAAAAGAAACTAAATTATTTTCTTTTGCGGAAAAGTCTGATATGTTATCTAACGCAAAATCGTGTGACTATTTCATATTCGGCTTCTGAGAAAACTTCGAAGTTTTGTCGATGACAAGTTGGCTCAATTTAAACGCGAGCAGTCTTATTCGTCAAGTTAAAATGATTTCTTTGAGAAAACTCGAGCGACTTCCAAACTAAAACGACAGTCGATTTTACAGACCCTTGTAAAATAACGGCTGAACTGAAAATTAATCCCAACAGCTTCGGAGAGTTTGTTCTAGAAACATCATCTTTCCGCTCCTCGCTTCGAGGAATATACAAATTCATAACGGAATTCTACGGATCAATTATTTCCCACTTCACCTACTATTAAATGCTCTCGGCTGACTTGTTGATGCGTCTAATATTTAAAAATACGACTAGACTTTAGACAAAGTTAGGGTTCCCTAAAGACAAACAACTTTTAAATTAAAAGCAAAATTACTGATTAAAATTTAAGATAATGTGGAAGTAAATCTCCACGGAATGGCGAGTAACAGGATCGCTTTGAAAACGCACTGGGACTTAAGACTCATTCCTCCCATAATTCCGAAACTTAGTATGGAGATTACTCTGGAGACTAATGAGTGAACAAAACAACGATGTTAATCAGTCAGCCATTTCAAAGATGTGCTCGGTGTGAATGAAATTTCACACAAAAGTTCTTGAAAACTTCCCCTTTCTCCCACTGCTAAATTCAAACCGACCAAACTTTATCTAATCGTGATCGGAGTTTTTTATTCCGACTCTTACTGATTGATTATAAAAACAGTTATTTTCAATTTTCTATTTCACGGGCTATGCCCGGAATATTTTAAACAAACTTTCTTTTATCGTCTCAGAATTAACATCACATGAATAGGCGTCAGTCAATCGCGAATTGAGAGCTTTAATGCGAAGTGATGTCGACACGAAGGTTAGTTTTTTTTTATGTGTCACGCGTTTAGTGAATTAATATCGTGAATAAAGTTTGATACCATCACATTTGTATAATTTCGTTTTAGAAAAGATTCAAGGATTATAAACGGGAAATCCTTGGGGAGCATAAAAGAGTTTCTGCTTGGCAACACTGCAGTAGTCCCTACAGCGATCTGTCACTGCTGCCAACTCCAGGGACTAGTTAGGAAAGTTTTCTATTTAAGATCTTTAATAGCTCAAAGTGAAGGTATTGTTCCAGGATACGTGCAAAATTGGCATACACATGCTGAACTTTATATGCCGGTTTAGTGAAAAATAGTCACCTGAAAGGAAATAAAGCCGCAACTTCAATGTTCTGCGTGCTCCTGTGCTAATTTATGGATCTTGGTACACGCAAATTAGTTTGAATGTCAACTTCACCCTCGAGGCCAAGAAAACTAAGTGCAGTAGGTATTTTTATGTTCCTCATTTTATTTCCCCCGTAAAAGTGATGATATTTTCATGGTTCATGAAAAAATGGGGTGGTATGTTTATAACTACATTGCCATATCTAATCAACGGAGAGGGTTTTGGCGCCTATGTCAGTACGCGTTCAGTACTTTATTGACAACGTTCCATACCTAAACTTCGTAAAAGCAATTTCAATTTCTTTTCTACAAATTTTAACAAGGGGTTCCCGTACTCAGAAGCTGTTAGCATAGCCTGTTGCGACGCAATCATAAATTATTTACATTTATGATTTCAATAATAACTACAGTTATTCTTGGAAAAAAAGAAGCCTCTTTGTTGAGTGAAGTTCAGGATAGCACAAACAATTGATTTGGCTTCTAATGCATCTGATACATATACAAACAAAAACAAATGGAAAAAATAACACTGAAGCTCAAATTCAAGTAAAACCAACTCTGTTTATTCGTGAATAACCCTTCCGATTTACTTTTATAAAATTGAAATATTTATATACAAGATGCGCCGTTATTATATTTGCTGTTTAAACCGAAGTAACGTCTACATGACACAACAGTATAGCAGTATAGCAAAAATTCATTTTGTTCTGAAGGTGAATAATTCGTGTCTCCCTCCACAGCAACAGTGCCAGGGACAAATACCACGCTACAAGAGCTCGATCGACACAGATTAAATAAAGTCTTAATTACCTTGAATGCCAATTATTCACACATCACAGCTTACACTGCGATTCCTTTTAAACATTCGCATACAAAAGAAAACAAACACTAAACTAAATTCGCCTCAGAAACTCCACTTTTTAATTACATAATAGGTACCTGAACTTTTCCGAATAGGTGACAAAAAACTTCTCCTTACTCGAACTCGACTATTCAATTTAACACGACCTACAAACTTTCTTTAATAAACTTATGATTACACAAACTGACTGTCTTTAGTACATCCGAAAACTGAGAAGCCGGGAGTACGGCCCGACTCCACTCAACGGTCATAGCACGGCCCGAATTCACACACACGACCGAAGGCGAAAAGTGGGCGAGTTCAATATCACTTCTTTATTCTTTAGATTAAAATACGATAAACTCTCTTAAGATCCCCATACATATGCAGACAAATCCATGAGCAAATGCGTATAAGTGCCCGCGCAAATCGGAAGCCAGTTTTGATCACCCCACCCTGTGCAGAACACAAAAGTGCTCCCGTTCGCCCAAAGGTCTACCATTGGGAATACCCTGCAGCACAATGGGGACGCGTGCACATGGATTACGCGTCGACGGCGGTGGTAACTACTTGATGATTGTTGACGAATACTCTAAATGGGTCGAGTGCTTCATAACAAATAACATAACAGCTGAGACGGCCAAAAATGTGCTTCTTTCGCTGTTTGCCCAGTTTGGCAATACCAATATCGTGGTGTCGGAAAACCAAACATCGTTCGTTTGAACCGAACTGCAGGAATTTTTCCGCGAGAAAGCGCGTTACATTGCCACAATTCCATGCAGCATCCAATGGTGAATTGGAGTTCTATGTATCTAGCTTAAAACAAAGCTTTCGAGTTTTGGGCAAAGAACCGGGTTCAGCCAACGTTGCAAGAGGTTCTGTAGCTGCCTATAGGAGAACCCCACACTCCACTATTGATCAAAGTCGATCGATGTTATATTGGTGAGACGGGAACCTGGCACTCAACTCTCTATATTCCGCCCGTATGTAATAGCTGCAGCGAAGGAGGAAAAGGGAATTGGCCACGGCTAGCCAGGGGAAACAACCACCGCGGTTTGACAAAGCTCATAATTTTGGGCGCCAGGCATGCACAGGTTACGCCAAAAAATAAATAAAAATATAAACTAAAAATAAAATAAGAATAATTGTTTGTATTTTAAGTTAATTTTTTTTGTAATTAGTGGACTGAAGGACCATAAGATATATTTTTTTTTGTTAAATGATAATTTCCGCCCGAACCATACAAATACATAAATAATAGTTGGGCACGTACCTGGAGTGGCTGAGTGGCTGATTTCGGTGAGCTGCTGTACCGGCTGATGGGGGCCCCCAAAGATTGATTTGGTTTTTCACTTTTTAAATTGATAAATGCGCGTAAAACTCGTGCATGCTTAACTCAACTCTTTTACACATAGTTCCGTCTTCGCTCGCCCTTCTCTAATCATTTTTAAGCGTTTTCGCGAATCCGCCCGAGTGCCCGATTGTACTTGTATGATTAGAATTTATAGCGCGCCGAAACAACTGAGGTTTAAACAATAATAATAAATAATAATGTACATAAAACAGTCAATAAATTAGCAATTCTGGTCAAGGTTACACTCAACTAAATGCTAATGTTGAGCACAGCCGAATATACGTAAACGCTATAACTTAATCTAATCTCAATTACAGCTAGAAAGATAAATAAATAAATAAAGCGCAACAGAAACATTTTTAATAAATGTGTTTCGGATTGCGATATAGGCAAAACAAAGATAGGTAATTAAATTAACACATATGTTAACAAAAAGAAATTCTATGAAAATAACGTTACCTAAATAGGATACAGCAGCATCTTCATTCGCGTATAAACGCGTAGGTAATTAATTTAAACAATTTTAGCGTGATGACTCTGGAATTTTTCGCAAAGATCGACCTGTCATTTCAACGACAAAAGCAAAAATAGTATCATCTCAATGCCAATGGTACCAACTACTCCTAACACACTAAGAGCGCATTCACCAACCAAGAGTACATTCAACGGAACGTTACACAGCGGAAGTACAAGAAATGGTTAGAAAAGGACAGTACTCATTTACAGACTCCGTATTCCATGCCAGTCAACGGGTGGCCGTTCGTGACTTCCGATCTTCTGGAACGAAGTGGGCTTTCGGTACTATTTTGGCGAAAGATGGCGTTCTACAGTACTCTGTCACCTTTAAAGACGGCATGTGGCACAAATCAAGCCGGCAGGAGATGACATTTTACCAGCTCGTGTGCCATATGTGACACTACCTGCAGCTGACCCGAATCGAGCGGTTCCGACTCCGGTTGTGAACTCTGAAACCCAACCCCAAACACAATTTATAAAAAAAATTCCTAAACGGCAAAATGTAATTCTCTTCTAAATGTTGGTCCGTACCAAATAGGCTCAAATTTTACGTTAAAAAGCATTTAAGAAACATCAACACATTTTCATTTTTTGAAAATAACATTAGCAAAATGGCGTCCTTCTCGATCACGGCATTCTCACAGGCGATTTAAGTTGCCCATCACATCACGGAGCGTATCTTGAGGAATTCTCTCAATTTCATTGTTTCATCGACGTTTTCAAAGTTTTCGACATAAGTCTTTATTGCGTTAACCGAAGGCCCCCTCCCCCACTACTTCCAACGGTCCCGCACACTAATAACAAATGCAGGTTTGACTGCCAAACCCTGTGTATAGCATTGGGCAAATGTAAAAACTTATGGGTTAGGACCTTTCAAATGGATATAACCACTGAATAGTTAAACTCATTCTTATTATTTTCAGGTTTAACTAAACGACATAATTTCTTTAGTGATACTTATAGTAATATTTGCCTGTCTGTTTTTATAAGCAGAACAATTTATGTGGCCTTACACACCGTTTAAGTTGTTTCTTGTTCACTGTAATTTATTGGCAGTTGTCTGTAATGCAGAAATAATGTGAAACAATAGACTGATGGATACTCATAAATTGTTTGTGAAATAAAGACGGAATCGCTTACCACCAAATACGTCGCAACGTAGCGTAAACGAGTCTCCTTCCGAAAAAGGTCCCACGACCGATGTTAAATGTGCTCCGGATTCATCCATTATTACTATCTTTTGTGGCGGAACTGGAAAGCAAAAAAAATCTTTAGAGATATTTGATATTAAACATGCCGGAAAAACGGCTATTACTAGCAATAGTAAGATATTCGATATTTTAGTTTCTAACAGTGTAGAAATGAAAGTTTAACTTAGAAACCAATCATAAGAAATTTAGTTAAGTAAGTTTTAGAACTTTGTTTGCAGGAGTTTTTTTTTCTCAAACTAGGGTTTGAATTATTTATTAGAAGCATTCTTTAAATTGTACCGGTATCGAAAAGTTTAGAAACTTTAAATTATATTAAAAGTCATTAGAATGGAGTGTAGCAATTGGCTATCGAAATTAGGTGCAACGTGTGATACAATGCAACTACATCTACATATTTATGATAGACGATAAAAGTATAAGATAAAGCAAAAGTCTTGATTGCATGTCAACACAATACTGTTGCCCATGTGGTGACAACCGATGTGGCACATGCCCAATATTATTAAATTGATCATTACTTTAAAGTAACGCAAAATACCAATCATGCTTTCTGGCCACTGAGAAATTGCCTGAATGGTTCGTTCGAATAAATTTTCCTTTAATTAATTACGAAATATCCAAACAAATACATTTTCTATAATCAACTCCATATGTAGCGTGGAGGTTTGTTCCGAGGAAAAGTTCAACAAAAAATCTAACCGCACTTCAACTACGCACTTTTAACAAAGTGGAATGAACCATACAAAATTTGAATAAACACTCGATAAGCTTTTTGTTTATTTTGTACGCATTGTTTCTCCGATAAATTCAGAAGGTGGTTAAAAAATTTCACCGCATGCTTACGCTATATTAAGTGATATCGGCTAAAGAAAGGTATAAAACTGTATAGTAGCTTTTGATCGGTGTTGAATGCCGAAATGAAGTATTTGCTTATTGTCGTACTGGCGCTAGTGCTGCATCAGTCACTAACTCTGGTAAGTTAAACAATTTCATCTGCAGTGATATTCATGTAGAAGTAGACATAGGGATTTCCTATAGAAATTTCCTATGCCTACTTTTACATGCTACAAATCTTCTAAAGGACGCCTAACTTTATGCAACCAAAGTAACTACTTACAACAAATGAGGAACTGCCTGTCATATTAATTAATTTGAATATTATCGCTTTGACTCCCGTATTCTAATTTCGGTTCGTTTGCGAAGTATTCAGCTAAAGAAAAAGTTGATATTTCCAATTGGTATAGTACCGATAACAGTTAAAGGAGCTTAAGAGATTTATTTTCTGTGAATCTAAAGCAACAATATTCAAATTAATAATTAATATGACAGCCAGATCTTTTTGTTTCTACAAGTTATTTTGGTTGCATAAAATTAGGCGCCTTTCAGACGACTTTTTATCATGTAAAAGTAGACATAAGAAATTCCTATGTCTACTTCTACATGAATATCACTGTATATAATTGCGACTTCATATATTTTAGGACCTACGCTCAATAGTTCAAAGTTATGCAAAGTACGTATTGGTTTTCCAAGAAAGATGTGAACAAGAATCTGGTGTAAATCCGATTGAAGCGGATAGATTATTGAATCCTGGAATCTTATCTGACAATGATGCATTCAAGCACTATGCCGCATGCCTTTTCCGTAATCTACGTCTTCTAAATAACGATGGAACAAGTAACATAGACAACTACAGAATATTTATAGCGAGTGAACACCCCGAAATTGTTAACCCCTTAATTGAGAAGTGCAAGCCTAGTGGAGTTGGCGGGAACGTACAGGAGAGGGTTTGGAATTTTTTGAACTGCGCATTTGACGCTGTCAAGAATATGGTTTGAAAGCACCATTTGCATTACCTTGTAAATTAAATTTCTTTGTTTTTTGTGTTTCCCATTAAACACTTATCTTATGTGTATTTTCACAATACTTAACTGGGGAAAGTTCTCAAGTTTGTGAATTGACTGGATTATTTATTTATTATCCGGTTACAGTTTCAGTTTATGAACCTATTCCCATTTAAGTTTACCAAATGAACACAAATTTTTATTGGAATCAGATTTCCAGAATCATAAGCTAAGTTTAAATAATAATTTTTGGCGTGTCTATTACGTTAGATCAGTGCAGCTTCCCCCCGTATCCCATTTAATCCTACAGACAATCAAATTTCCATAAATAGTGCTAAACCTTATTTTCTGTACTGTCAAAGATGCATATTAAAAACTGAAACCGTCAGGAATTCAGTGCGTTTAATATAAACCTGCCTCTATTGGGTACAATTCACATTAACTAACGCTTCGTCAGGAATGTGGTGTACAGATTCAGTGCGATTTCCATTCATTGAACACGAAGCGCAATCAAAAAACTCAAGTACTGAAGCTTGGACGTAAAATGGATTGCAAATACGAGCGTGTAATACGAATAGTGTTTGTCAAGGCAAATTCAAGTATTCCAACAAATTTACTTCACATGGCGCATTGAGTACTGTGTTAACTCCGGAAGCAATTGGGCTATTGTTGTCTAACGTGTACCTACAGATGCATTTGTCAGCCGTTTTAGCCACGGGCATTTGTTAACTTAAACAAGAACAACTGACACCACAAGCCGCAAGCCGACCACTATCATGTTCATTAAACTGCGCTACGAAGAACAAGCAGTATTCGAAATTGACTTCCTTCATATTTCAACAAACCAGATAATCGCATTACGTTGATTGCATTTCTACAAGTGATACACTTCGCTGTGAAAGTACGTCTAATTGATTCGCCAAATGGGATTGCTATTTTAATTGTATAGTAGTCGTAAAGATTAGATGTTATTGCTTTAGATCTTTAATATTACCACGGAATTAGTCGGGGGTATCATTTGAAATTAATTACAATTCCTCTCCCGCTGCCCGGGCGCTTTGATCTCTGAAGCAGGCGTTCAATACATTCTCGTGACGGTTATCTGTGCCATTAAAGATATTGTATTTCAACTCGAAACACCCATGATGTGCCATATCGATACATGGCAGATATTGGTAATACAGCTCTTATCTTGTATCAGAAAGAACACAAATTTAATTTAAATTTGGAAAACGTTCAGTTGCCTTTATCGGAAAAATTGTGCGATAATACTATTTTAATGAGGTTTACGTGACCAAAACCGTTCACTCAGTATGACGTAGAATAAGATAAAGCAGTTTTCGTGAGAATCGCTACTGGGTTGCAATTTAAAAAAAGTGCGTGGGTTTGATTTGTGACCCCAACGCGGGCGTTATTAGTTGGAATAAACGAATCCAAGTCGTTCATGGTTAAAGATGCCATTGTTAACTTATTAACGTCGTTATGTGAGTAGTGTTTCAAGTTGGAAAGAATAGGGACGAGTCCAGAGATGAGAGAATTAAGGGCATTCGTTTTTGAGCCCTGAGAGCGTCAACTGCGTCGTTTTTCGCGAGAGATCGAGCACAGCTTTAAAAGTTATTTAGTTAATAACTCGAAATGTTGCGCGTTGATTGAAGTTTTGAATGAATGCACCTGAGAGTAAAAGATTTGAATATCTTGGACATTTCCTTCACATATGCCAGTACTATCAATGCATTTAAGATTTTATTTGAAAGAGCCTTCCTGTTCATCCACGCCAACAGCTTTTCATATTTTTCGAATAAGTCTACTAGATTGGGATTTTTCAGGTATCAAATTTTCTTCTGCTTCTGCAATGTCACTGAATAGAGGGTGTATTATCAAGCGAAGTCATTTTATTTACAAAGACGGAGATTTTTTATAAATTTTTACATTTCCATGTCAATCGTGGAATTATCAATAATCAGACCAATTAATTAGAAATGTATTTTAGTATAACCCCAATATAATTTCATTTTATTTCCCTTATTTTTTAATTATATTGGAAGTGTAATAAAAAATATTGTAAGAAACGCGTGTATAATTGGTTGCGCGTGCTTTATTACAGAATTGGAAGGTTATACACTTGCTTATTAATATACTATTAAATCCACACAAAATATAATTTAAGCACAAGCGAAAAAGTAGTCATACGCCATTCCATCGTCTCATTGAAAAGTCTGTTAAAACAATTTTATACTTCCGTTGCTCCTTATGAAAACTGAAAAAGCTTTGTCCTACTTTTAACCAAATATCTTTATGGCAAGACGCGGAATTTACAATAACTACTACCAATTATACCTACGTAACTGAGTCAAGGTATACGACGTTGAATTTCAAATAATTGGCAATTACGAATTTTACGTAACACTATAATTTATTGCAAAGTTCAAGGGGAACTAAAAAGTTTTCTTAATCAGCGTTTTACGGTCCTATAACAATCTGATATCGTTAGCCCCCAACAGGGACACGTATAATAATACGTACAATCGATTTACAAATGATGATTATGTTGTATATTGTCGAAAATCAAACTAATTTGTGGTGTGAAAGTAGCAGTATCATAACCACGAGCACGTTTAAAGCAGTCGAAGACTGCATTTGTGTATTATTATTTTAAATTGGTATTACTTTTGCTTTAATGCATTAATACGTCTTATGCGTTTCATACTTTAGGTAATTATTTTGGTCGAATGAGGTGAGTAATAAAACAAACAAATATTGTCCTAAATTTGCATAATCCAGAAATATATTAACGTAACGTCATTTCTCTTGTAAGCAACGCGTGTCCTCTTTTACCCGTCTTGATAATACCATTGTATACCTTATACAATGATAATACCTAATCGTGGTCCTATTCCACATCTTAGCTTAATTTGTTGGTGCAAGACACACCTAAAGTAATTCCACGAGATACATCGGTGATTTTACGTTCCGGAACTGTGAATGAAAATGAGACGACGAAGAAGGGTCAAAGAAGGACCCTTTTAAAATATGCTGTAAATTGTTCCAAATTCTGCGATAATGAAATGATCTCTTATATTAAAGTTAGTAATTTGGAGTAATTTATTACCTGAGCTACAGCAAAAGCCTTAATTAATATTAATAGCGTGATTTTAATTATTATGTGGGGTTTCTAGAAGCGTTGTTAGATTTTGCTGGGTGCTCTTTGTAATTAATCAACCTGCGCCATACTTTTCTCTAAATTATTTCTGGCATAACGCACGAACGAAACGTCAACATTTTATAGATTTAATTAATAAAAGGTCACGTAGCTAGAACTACTCTTATGTCAACTCTTGTTCCAAAACGTTATAGAGAAGGGGCTAAGATTGTAGGTAATAGATACAATTTCAATTTCTGTGATGCATTGGAAGATTGAAACCTAATTGATTGTACAGAAATCAAATTATGTTCAAGAAGTCAATCTTCAAACTGGTGACTATTAAAACTTTGAGTCCTAATTAATATTTTTATAGGTTGCACGATTTACTAATGCCACAGTTTTTATCGTAAAACCCTTTGTATCAGTTACCGAGGATACTTCAGGAATTCTCAAAACGACAATTTTCATTGAAGTTCATTGAGCATCTGTAGAAATAGGAAAACAAGTACTTTTACAGACGGACGTTTGAGATATTTCATTTCAAGCTTCAGTGTTTCGGATCTCATTTCTTGCCGACAAGAGCAGACTGGACGCTCGTCCTCTTACAATATTATGTTTGTATATCTTGACGTTTCCTAATATCCCTAAGGACGTACAAAAAGCTCGTCAGTGAAAAATATCACGGAACTTTTGCTGTAAATTCACATGGTTGCAATTTAAAGTGAAGCGAGAGCTGTTTTCTTTGTTAAACGTTTGTGCGAATTTACATTTTAGGACGTTAACATCAATATTCACATATTCCGAAGCGGCGGTTTGTAATTGTTGAAATTAAACACGTTTATACCATAATTTTTCGTTGTATATCATTCCCATCCGTATGATTTAATGCATCACTATTTTGCAGACCTGCTCTATTGAAGCCAATTCTATAGACACCGTTTTTAATATTTTGTGAAAAAGAATGCTCGATGATAGCTTTCAATTAACGTAACCTTTTTGGGCCGATCTTTCATGTTTCAGTTTAACGTAGGTATTTGATAGATATGTGCATAATGTCAGATAATTATAACGATAAGAAAGGCCAGCTTTTAGTGTCCTCTTCTACATGTCCACTTAGAAGGATAAACCTTTATGAGCGATTCTTATGCTAGGTATCCACCTGTACGTATCCCCTACACCACTATTACAAATACACTCAAAATCTATATTATCCAATCCAGGCTGGGGTACCGCAGGGCAGTGTATTAGGCCCTTTGCTTTATCTACTACACACATCTGATATACCTACTACACCCAATACTACAATCGGTACTTTCGCGGATGACACAATCATTCTTGCAAGTCATGAAGATCCAACAATAGCATCTTCTTATGTGCAAAGTCAGCTAAACCTTATACAAGATTGGACTAACAAATGGAACATCAAAATTAATGAAAGTAAGTCAACTCAGGTCACATTTACACTTAAAAAGGGCCGCTGTCCACCAGTTACTGTCAACAATTCAATTATACCTGTATCTCCATCAGCACGTTACCTAGGTCTACACCTCGACGAAAAACTTACCTGGAAGATACACATCTTAAAAAAGAAAAAACAAATCGACCTACGACTAAATGATCTAAACTGGTTGATAGGAAGAAAATCCCGATTGTCCCTAGAAAACAAAATCTTGGTTTACAAGACAATAATAAGACCTATTTGGACTTATGGTATAGAGTTATGGGGATGTGCCAGCAAACCACTGCAATACTGCAATTATTCAACGCTCTCAGTCCAAAATTCTTCGAGCTATTACTGACGCACCTTGGTACGTAACCAACAAAATGTTACACGACGATCTCTTTATCCCTTTCGTTTCGACTATCATACAAGAGCGTAGTGCAAGTCATCATACCCGACTAGAAGCACATGCCAACCCACTAACGCAA